TGTACCCATGTATTCACATCATCTTTCCCTCGGGAATTGCCAAGCATCACCTGGGAAGTGAATCACACAGGTGAAAATAAATGGGTTGGTAGGATAGGTGAAGGAATACTGTATGTTAAAGATTTCTAGCACTCTCTACCACATTTTGCTTTTGTTCTTTATTATCATATTTCTACCTATGGCAGCACACAATGTAACAAAGACCAAAGCAGATCTCAGCTTCATCCCTTGCAGTAGTGATGGCATTAGGGGGAATACAGGCTGGTAACATTGCTCCTTCATTTCTGGTGCACAGAACCAAAAAGTAGGTTGGAAAATTGATTGAACACTACGTGGGCTTTTGAGCAAGCAGGTGACTTGGCTACTGAGAGCCCATGGGAAGGTGAGAGTTGTAAACCCAGTGAGGACCTGCTCCCATGACAGCCCCGCTGCTTATTCACAGTATTTGCATAACTACAGATGTGCAACCCAGAGAAATGCAAAGATATTCCTGCCCTGTTCTGTTCAGCTGAGCCTGAGCCTATCCTGATTTTGGCACACTAATAAAACTGAACTGAAGCTGTAAGTCAGAGAATGAAAGTGTGGTCACATCGTTTTGTATGTGTAAATTGCTGGCTCTTAACCCTTTTCCTTCCAGGAATTGTCACGTTCCCTATGTCAGCTCCATGGCCATGTTCTCACCACTCTGGCTGGTTTATTAACCATTAACTCCCTTTCCCTTGAGACATCCAAGGAATGGGAACCATAGAAAATCATTTTGCAACTTTGAGATTCATAGGAAAATTTTATCCTTATTAATATATAAATCATTGGGCAGTTTTATCACTTACACTAATTCATTAATCTGAACATATGTTCCCCTTTGAGGACATGTGCTGCCTTGGAGGACAAATTGCCACAGGTGACTGAGGGCTGAGTGATTTGAATTAAAGAGCATTGCAACATCACAAATAATTCTAGTTGTCCCTCAAGCTCACTGCATTTCCCAAAGACGATCCATAATCCTAAATTATGAAAATAGATAACTGAAAGTCCATACAACTGTCTTGCTAAAGCAAAGCTTCCAGAAAATGAAGATCGTGCAAGGCATACATTAAATAACAGACTGATGTTTCCTATTTGCTTACAGGATTTTGACCCTGTAGAGGTAAGAGTTTGGAAGAGCTCCCCTCTCCATTCTCTTTTTTTGTGTTTAACCATATCTTTTGGGCTCTAAAACTTGAGCTGGAAGTTAAAGATTCTTTAAATTAGGCATCTTAATTCAGTGAAAATTGAACCACATGGAATATGGTGCTGGAAGTTAAGTTTTCCTTGGCAGAACTTCATGGGTTGAATTTGGATTTCTGGCTATATAGTTACCATTAGCTGTGGATTACTCTTTGTAATTCATTATTTCAACATTTCTTCACCTCGCTTCCCACATCCACCATCTGCAGTAGCAATGACTGAAAGCCTATACTCCAATATGTCAAACTACAGTCACTAGCTGGTGGTTTGATTTTAGAATCAGGCTGAAGAAGGCAGACTGAAACCTTAAGCAAAGATTTTGGACACTCAGCGTCTGGGAAAGAAAGAGAGAAAAAATGTGAATGCTGTGTGAATTCCACTCTTCTCAGAGATATAAAACAATTCAATTTCCTTTGTCATATTTCACTCCTTGTATGAACAAACACAGTGTTATCCATTATAACTGTGTCACTGGCTGCATGTCTGTATATCCTCTTTGCTTGCAAAGTACAAAATGTATTTATTTGCTCTCTCAAGTCTTATCAAACATGTAACCAGCTCTCTTCAGAATTTACATTGGATTTACTGATTCCTTCTGCAAATTTTTCCTTGGAGATCACAGCATTAGACCTATAAAGATCCAGTTAATGTCTAAACCCCAGAGATTTACTGTGAATGGGAAAACCACCTTTTCCTGATGAATTTTTTCCAGTTGACTTAATGGTTAGAGAAGAAAGGCTAACGTGTGCCAGTTTACATGCATGGAAATGGTGAGACCAACAAAAAGCCCAACAGTTTATTTACAGCATTTCTTCTCATCCAGTGGAAACTGACGGCTTTGATTCGACCAGACTGTGTTTTCTTTGCAAGTACAATACAATCAAGCTATTTTCAGCTGGCAATAAAATCCTTGAGAACCAAAGCAGATTTGGCCACTTTAAGAGATGAAGACTAATGCAATCTGATAATTAGGCCCTTTCACCGCCAAGAAGAAAAACCAATTTAATAACATGCAGCAAGACAGGGGTTAGAGCCTCTGGGTCTCAATTGGCAAGAACTATGCCTGCAACACAACTCTAATTTGCTTCCACGGGGCATCTGCAGATCTCTGCAAGACTGAGGAGATGCTCAGGAAATGTGAGGAGAAAAACCTCTCCCTCCACTGCTGTGGCTGAGCTGCAAGATGGATCGGAAAAAGCATCCTGCCCTGGGATGCTCCTATTCTTACACCTCCTACACCCATATGAAACATAAATATTCTGCTTTCCTAGCGCCCTTCTTATCCCCTGAGAGTGTTTTTCTTTCTGCAGATAGCAGATCTTGCCCTGAAAATTCCTCAGGCCATCTCACATAACTCTTCAGTTCATCAGAAAGGAGGCAGCAAAATTTGAGCCAGGCTGCCTCAAATGAGAAAACATTGAGGGAAGGCAAACAAAGCCTCACTCACTCTTGAGGGTTAAGTTTTCAGCTGTTCCTCACCCTCTTTGTCCTGGCTCATTGCAACAGGAAAGAGTTTTTTAGAAACTTTTCTTGTAACTTCAACTTCCCCATTTGAGGGCTTTGGAAGTGCCTCTGCTGAAGTTCAGGCAGGCGAGAGGTGGCTTTGTTACAGTTCCTGTAATCTGTGAAATAGATTCAAATCGATATTTCATTCAAAGGAGAGCTTTCTGGACAAGAGCAGCTTGGAGTTTAAGGAAGCTAGAAACCAGCCCTGATGTGTGCATTCAAGCCTTCTTCAGTATGAAACACTGGATGGGTTGGTCTGCAGGGCTGTGCTGCTCTGAATAAAGTCTTACTCATCTCAGAGGATCTGGGCTCTTGGGTCCCGTAAGTTAGCAGTGTTAATCAGTCAGTTTGGTGAGTAAGGGTTGAGTAAGAGTCTGGAAGGTCAGGCTTTAATGGGTAATATCTTGTGGGCATTGTGCAGAGATGTGTCCAACCCACCCTCCAGCACACTGCATGTATTTTCAGCAGAGCGCTTCTGAGCCTCAGTGTATCACAGCACTTTTATTTCCACTCCAGTTAGATGAGCACATACTTCATCAAGGTGGGTCAGATTGTTGCTATTTTAGCTGCACTGATACGTTCAGAAACACAAGGGGTTTTTTGCCATGAATCTTTGTAGCATTTGTCCCTATGGACTTCAAATCCTGTGGCTGACTTCAGTCTTACTGCATGAATGAAATAATTGCTGCCTTTCCCTCTTCCAATTTTTTATTATGCCTCAATCACGAGAAACTTGCCTGAGTTAGAGAGTTTTTCTTTCAATTAAACATGGACAGAATCACCCAAGAACTACGCAGGAACAATGATTGCCCAACACGTCAGGTTGCTCAATGTACACAATCACTTGTCTTTTCTTTGCTCCCAGACCACATAGAGCCATGCATCCTGCACACACCACGCTGTAGGCTGCTAAAGGCAGCTGCAATTGGCCATTGTGTTTGTTGCTGCACCAATGCTTCCTCATTCAGAATATGGGAACTCAACACATACTGTAAATGACAGCGAAAAAGTGTTTTCTTCGTTTTATTACAAGATGAGAAAGCATTTGGGGGAAACATTTTCACTGAGCATTTCAAGACTTGCTCATGTCAGAGTTGCATGCTTACAAAGCTTAAAGCAACCTAACAGTGACTGCAAGCATTGCTGTAGAAACATGGAATCATCTTTGGAGCCTGTTGGGAACACGGGAAGGAGGGGAGGACCCATCTGTCTCTACAGATGCTGCTGTTGCAGTCCCAGGTGCAGCTCACAGAGCCCTCACCAGCTCCTACAGCCTCATGTGCTCTGCATTCAACAGTCACCTTCACTCTGACTTTTCCAGCCCACCACGCAGAGCTCCGTGATGCAGTTCAGCTGTTAGCACTGTGCAGGGGACACCTGCCTCGGAAACTCACACCCCTGCACTGTCCATCAGAGCTGGAGTTTGGCAAACTCCAGAGCATGCTTACAAGGCTGTTTTTGTTCCTGCAAGGCTCCCGGCCAAACATTTCATCCCTGTTTTCTTTGTCAGATGTCTTAGGCCACGTCTACCATAAAGAGGACAAGCTATTAAATGCCATTTTGATTTCTGCACTTTTCACCCATGGCCGGACAGGACAACCTTCTACAGGTGATGTATGAAACAAAGAGATGCACCCAAGCACTGCAGCACACCAACACTCTTCTTGCTCCAAGAGGTCTTAGACCAGGAGACAGAGCTTTGCTTTTGAGAGGGACGTCAGATTTCAGTTTAAGGAGCAATGATGGAGAGGGGTGTGCTTGACTTGCTCCGGGTGTGTGTGAGGGCTGGATCTTAGTGATTAGATACAACACATTTCAGCATTGAAAGATGGAACAAGACTACCAAAGGAAACCAAACTGCTTTTCCCTGCTATTGTTCCTTACTACATGAGGCATCATAAAGGAGCCAGAGAGGAGAAGACCAGAGCGAGCAGCCTCACACATCCCACCCGGCATCTTCATAAGCAGCCCCACCGAACGTCTTCTTGGAGGGGTAACAGCCGCGGGCAGGTGCTGCCCGGAGCTGCGGGGCTGTCCTGGGATAGGACCGCTCCCCGCGGGCTGCGCTCCATCTACAGCGGCACTGAGCCCAGAGGGGGCAGCCCCGCATCGCCCCGCACGCAGCCCCGCACCGCCCCCGATCCGGCGCCGTTCTCCCGCAGCCCCGCAGCCCCGCGGTGCGGCCCGGCCTCCCGTTTGCCATTGGTGCGGGGTAGCGGCGAGGGCGGGGCCGACAGGGCCGCTATTAAACATCACATGGCAGCCCGCAAAAAGGGGGCAGCGGCTCATTGAGTGGCTCAGTTGCAAGCGGTGCGGCGGCGGCCGGCGGGCACCTTGGGATTGGCTTGGCTTGGCTTGGCTTGCTGCGTCCCCGCGGATCTTAACACCCTTTAAACTCTCTAAGCACCTCTGTTAAAGCCACCGGCAGGTAAGGAGCGCTTTCTTTTCCCCATCTATGCGGGACGCCCCGAGGTGCCATCAGGGGTCGGGGCGATGCGACGCGTCGGGGCTTAATGCAGCATTGCCGAGTTAGCGCTTTTCGTGCTCGTGGATCTGTTGCACGCTTCGGCATAACCGCTCGGAGGGGGAACTCCTGCGTTTCTAGTGCACCATACACGAGCTATTCTGGGTGCCTCAAATAATTAGATAGGTATGCTGGGAACACTCGAGCATCTGCTTGCAGCATCTGTTTATGTTCATAACTTTCCATGCACCAGCTGCTCCCCCCGAGATATTTTGTTCGGGGGAAGGGCTGGAAGTTTGCATGACAACTCCGTCGTGCAGACGCAGCACCGCTCCATCCCCTTTTGCTCTTCTTGCCTGTTGTTTCCCGTGTAAGACAGAGGTCAAAACTATCAAATCTGAGTTATCAGATGTGTCATTTATAGAGGAGAGTCCGAAATACTTCAGAGGGACATGAAAGGAACCTGTAGCTTCATTCACTGGCTTTATGGGAACGTGGGGTTTTCTTCATATGCAATCATTCTGCCAAGAATAGGAAGAAAGAAACCATATTGCAGCTGGGGAGTGTGTGAAGAGGATGCATTGTTTCAATTTAGTTCGTGACTAGGAAAAAAATACTGATAAGAGGCGGCAGATTTATCCACGGGGGCTGAGCGCTGCTCTGTGTCTTTCCGGCGGGGCTGCAGGTGCTGGGGCCGCGCACCGTGCCCGCCCGCAGCACTTGTTCCTCTCTCCAGCCTTACCTTTACACTTGTTTGCTTTTCCATCCTCGCAGCCGGTGCACCAAGTACACCCCCTGGTGATGGCTATTTCACTTGTAGCTATTTTGTCATCAGCTAGAAATATCCCGAACCCGGCTCCTTTGTGGGTATAGCAGATGCAAACGCCACTTGTGCCCTTTCTCCTGTTTCTTCATACCCATTTCCCTGTATCATCTGCTTTTTTTTTCTTTTTCTTTTTCTTTTTTTTTTTTTTTTCCATTTTATTTTATTTTTACCTCCCGCTGCCTGTTCGAGCAGGACAGATCCTTCTCCTTGAAGACAGCTTCGGTATAACCCGAGTCCTGTCCCGGTAGAGCAGTGCTGGGCAGTGCCTTGGAGGTGACCCTGGGGCTCGGGAGCGCGATTGGGGCGGTTGTGCCCAGCAATGAGCACGGGCTGTGAGATCAGGCTTCGTTCTTGCGATCATTCTTTGTTCTGTTTACCGAGGGCAGCGGGGGAAGGCTTCGCTAAGGCAGCGCTTCTGCTCTCTTAGCAACATGTGCCCGACTCACGGCGCGGGGCTGTGTGGCATCAGCCTGGGAATAGCTGCTCCGAGCTCTCATTAGTGCTCCTCTTCTGCTCTGCTCTTCTGGCACTTCACGGGTTTTGCTGGGTATCAAACCTTCTGCAGAAATTCCCTCCAAGCTGCTATGATGTTTAGACGTGCGCTGTAAATGTCTTTCCTCTGGGGAAACGTTTAGGGGGAATGCTTGCTGAGTGGGGGCTTAGGAGTTGCACTGAATTTAGTTCAGAAATGCAGCAGACACAGCACGGCCCCCCTTTCCTCTGATCCTCCAAGCATCCCCTTGCAGAGCTGTCCCATCCCATCCCATCCTGGTAACACTACATCAGTTCCAGTGCTGGTAATTACAAGCTGTATCACTCTAATCTCACATTCTCTTCCAGCAGGAAAGGTAGCATGCATTAATGACAATAACACACCTAGTGATGATTGAGTTCACAGCTCCACGCGTGCTCCCGGTTTGCTGGGCCCAATTACACAAAGGGCTGGGCTGGTTTGTGGGTTCTGGCTTGGTTTCTTTAGCCTGGTGAGGATTGCGGAGCTGGTCCCATGTTAGCTGAGCATCCCCAGTGCCTCCAACACACTGCTGCTGGGGTGTGTGGGGGGAAGGAGCTCATTTAGCCTTTGAGCAGCAGGTGGATTAGCAGAATAAAAAGTACCATTAGATTTTCAAGCTTGCTTGATCGTTTGTGGGATCTGGGGGACCTCTAATGAAATAGCTTTGTGAGTCAAGGTGAGCACTGGCAAGGGATGGAGCAGGACCAGGAGCAGACCCGCTGCCTGCAGCCCCATCTTGCATCCTCCCCATGCTGAGCACTCACAGGGAAGAGCCAGTCTGTGCCATGCAGAAATAAAAGAGCTATCCCACAAGCAGCAGGAGCACACCAGAGCGTTGTTGTGTGTAAACTTCAAGGAGCAGCCCGCACACTTGGCTAAGAGTGTCCCTAGGCACACCTCTGCTGTGAGGATCTCAGCATCCAAAGGTGCAGCTCCGCTGCCGGCAGCACGCAGCTGTAGGCAGCACAGCTGGGCAGATGTGCAGCAGGTAGAAGTGAATGGGATGGCAGCAATGTGTGGCTGCATTGCTCAGCTCCCAAACTTGTAAATGCAGCCAGCTTGCTGCAGGAAGTTGGAGTTAGGATTTCAATGATTTATGGAATTCAAACAAACGTCCCCAGGTCAGGACTTTTGCTGGGGGGGGGGAGGGGGGGGCTGCCTGCTCTGACACTTGAGACTTTACAGCTTATCTTTCCCTCTGCTGCAAGTTTTCCTCTAAAATCCAAGAGACAATGCAGAGGGGAAATAAAACTCTTCAGAATAAGCTGTTTCCTGGGCTGTGTATTTCCATCAGCTTGGAACAAAACAGACTCCGAATGTGGAATTTGAACATGTCTGCAATTATAGGATGTGGTTTAGAAAAGTGATCAATTTGTGAACCAATGCAGTGGTTTTTCGGGGACGTTTTCATGTGGAATGCATAAACAATTTTACTTGCACCCTCTGCTCAGGTTTCTCTAAGTCCTTTCAAGCCTTTTTTTTTTTTTTTTTTTTTAAGTGAGCAGTCAAAGAATTCCTTTGTATTTTTGAGAAGTCCTGGGATTAAAAAGGTGTGAGGGAAATAATGAGTCCTTACACTTATCTGACTATCTTGCGTGTGCTGTGTAAGGGCTATACCATCCCATAAATTAAACTGCTGAGAGTTTTACTCAAATGGGACATAACTGAACCCATCCAAAGCTGCCAAAATCTCTTGTTTGCTGCTGCAGTCACAGATGAGTAATCTCAGCAAGTGGGCGGCGGGACCCAATTGCACAACAAAGAGAAGTGAGGAAAAAAGGGAAGGTAAAAGTAAAGCTCAAAGAAATCCTCCAGGGAAAAACATCCTGCACGCAACTACAGGCACGCCGTTTGTTTTCTGTTTGTCACCTGCTCTTTTTCCCAACAAGTGTTTGCTGACCTAAAGCCCTCGTAATGTGGTGGAAGGATGTGGGAGGGTCGAGGAACTGCTTGAAATCCCTTCGGTTGCTGGAACACCTCTGTGAGGCTCTGGGGGAAGGAGATGGACTGTTATCTGCTGCAGTTGTCGGGCTGAGTCAGAGGAGCAGCCGTGGTACTGAGGCTGTGCCATGGGCAGAGGTTGTGCTCTTTGGCAGCGATAGATGTGTTGGGTTTGGGACAAACTCAGATGAGTTTTGATTATATTGATTTATGAAGAGGATGGTGATTTAATCCCCCACCAATGTAAACAGTGCTTAAGTCTCCTCTTCTAGGGTAAATGGATAGCAGACATTCCTCGCTGCTTGGTTTTGGTTTTATTTCCTCCATGAGGTGAATGTATGGATGGAGCAGTTGCATTAATGCATCTCTTATCCTCTGCAGTACTTCAATTACATTTCCTGATATACAGTACATGACTTAATGGATGACGCACTTGTTAAAAGCTAAACCTGGGTCTAAGCCAGACCTCCCTGAAACAAGTCTGGTAGCTTCTACCCTCGGGAAGAAGGTTCTGCAGCCTCTCTGCTGAGCCTTAGTTGCTGGCATCCAAGACCTTGAGGTGTTCTGAAGATGCCCATCCAGTCCTACCCCCATCCAGTCCTACCCCCATCCAGTCCTACCCCCATCCAGTCCTACCCCCATCCAGTCCCACCATTGTAGCCTTCTGCCATTCCCATTCACAGAGGGTCATTATGATGTTTAATTTGCTCCCTACGACTCACCCTAATGTGAGTGTAAAAACCAGCCCGAACGCAGTGAATTGATGGAGTTAAAGGCACTGATGCAGCCTGTCTTCCTGCCATTCACAGAAAACACGACTCCTCTTATAACTCCCACTTAATAGAAAAATCTAAGTTCTGTGGTTTTCTAATAGAAAAAAACTAAGTTCCATAGAACTTAGTATGGAAATCACAGTATGGAAATAACTGATATTTGCGTTTTCCAACTTTATTGTTTTTGTCAGTATATGTTGTCTTCCCTTTGCACACCCTCTTGTTTGACATAGGTAAAGCAGTCCAGGAGACAGACACTGCGCGTCGTTAAAAACCTGCTTCAGTGTTATTTGAACAGAGGGAGGCTAATGCTAATTCTTTGTTGCAAAATAAACAAAAAGCCCCGTTGCAAACAGTAGATAGATCCTTTGCATGCCCGACTTTAAAGTGGAATATTGCTTAGAGACTTGTGTGACATCATCACTTCAGGGCTCTCATTTGGGAAGAGTGGTGGCTTCTCTGCAGTAATGATGTCACTTTGGTCAATACAGAACTGTGCTCAGAAAGCTCACACATTCCAGAAAATGCTGCCATTAAGAATAAAGAAACTTCCTGCAACTCCAGAGGAATGATTTTAACATGACTCTCACAGGCTTGATTCATTATCCTTTTCCTCCAGGATCTAATATGACATTTCTCTTTCTCTTGCAGACCATGCCCTCTCTATGACGGTTACTTGTTAAGCTAACTCTGCATGCCAGAAGACTGTCCTTGGTTGATCCAAGGGCTTTTGGGGATTCCAGCCTCTCCCCAGTTTTTCTGTGTGTGTGTGTTCCTCTAGAACTTTCAAAACTGTTTCTCCAAAGGGTTTTGCAGAAACTTAGACTGTTTTCTAAAGCAGAAGCACCTCAGTCCACAGCAGTAGTGATGGGCAGCGTGCGAACCAACCGCTACAGCATCGTGTCTTCGGAAGAGGACGGCATGAAGCTGGCAACCATGGCCGTCGCCAACGGCTTTGGGAATGGCAAAAGTAAGGTACACACCAGGCAGCAGTGCAGGAGCCGCTTTGTCAAAAAAGATGGCCACTGCAACGTCCAGTTTATTAACGTGGGTGAGAAGGGACAGCGATACCTGGCAGACATCTTCACCACTTGCGTGGACATCCGCTGGAGGTGGATGCTGGTTATCTTCTGCCTGACATTTATCCTCTCCTGGCTTTTTTTTGGCTGTGTGTTTTGGTTGATTGCGCTGTTGCACGGGGATCTGGAGAACCAAGAGAATAACAAACCGTGTGTCTCGCAAGTGAGCAGCTTCACTGCAGCCTTTCTGTTCTCCATTGAGACCCAGACCACGATCGGCTATGGCTTCAGGTGCGTCACAGACGAGTGCCCCATTGCCGTTTTCATGGTGGTTTTCCAGTCTATAGTAGGCTGCATCATTGACGCCTTCATCATTGGTGCCGTCATGGCAAAGATGGCTAAGCCAAAAAAGAGAAACGAAACTCTTGTCTTCAGCCACAATGCCGTAGTGGCCATGAGAGATGGGAAACTGTGCCTGATGTGGCGTGTTGGAAACCTGAGGAAAAGCCACTTGGTTGAGGCACACGTGCGAGCACAGCTCCTCAAGTCCAGGATCACGTCAGAAGGGGAGTACATCCCTTTGGATCAAATAGACATCAATGTAGGGTTTGACAGTGGGATAGACCGCATATTCCTGGTCTCCCCAATTACAATAGTACACGAAATAGATGAAGACAGTCCTTTGTATGACTTGAGCAAACAAGACATGGACAATGCTGACTTTGAAATTGTAGTCATTTTAGAGGGCATGGTGGAAGCCACTGCCATGACTACCCAGTGCCGCAGCTCATATCTGGCAAATGAAATCCTCTGGGGCCACCGCTATGAGCCCGTACTCTTTGAAGAAAAAAACTACTACAAAGTGGACTATTCGAGGTTCCACAAAACATACGAAGTGCCCAACACACCCATCTGCAGTGCCAGAGACTTAGCAGAAAAGAAATACATTCTCTCGAACGCAAACTCCTTTTGCTACGAGAACGAAGTGGCCCTCACCAGCAAGGAGGAGGACGAGATCGACACGGGGGTACCCGAAAGCACGAGCACAGACACCCACCCCAACATGGACCACCACAACCAGGCAGGAGTGCCCTTAGAGCCACGGCCGCTGCGGCGTGAATCGGAAATATGACTGGCGAACAATTCCTCTCTCTTTTGGTTGAAAGGAAAAAATAAATAAATAAATAAATACCTATCGGTCAAAGGCACGTTGACCTGAGAAGTTGGCCCAGAACAGTTTTCAGACAACGGTACTGTTGAAGAGCGGCGTGAAGGCAAGCAGACCTGAGAAACCCCGGCTGGTTTGAGGGCTGTCCTCAGAGGAGGGACAACAGAGAATGAACTCTAAACACAAAGCACTAAACATGTCTAAGTATGAACAGAAGGCACATATGTTGTAGAATAAATTATGTATATATTTTTTTACAAAACTTGAACTTGCAGGCAAGCTTTGGTTGGGTTATTATTATTTTTTTTTTTTTTTTCAACTTTTTCCAGAATGCTTCTCTCTAGGGAACAAGAATGTTTTTAATGGCATAACAAAGGCAAGAATCTGCCTTATTATTATTATTATAATTATTTTTTAAAAAGCTGCTGCTAACTACATGAACACAAATGGTTATTTTTGTTGCAGTGTAGTTTTTATTTTCTCTTGTGTAATTTAAAAAAAAAAAAAAAAAAAAAGGAAAAAAAAGGTCAGTGTTGAACTTTTTGGGGTTGAAAAGCTCACGATCACTTCAGAGAGGCTGACGTTGCCAGAAAGTCTAAACTATTTTTTTGAGGCCAGTAGTTTGATAGCTAGAATCAATTTCTCTCTTTCCAATTACATAAGGGGCATTATGTAATATCAGGCCAATCAGTAGCCTCCAGCAAAAGTATGATTTTTGGGGGGAGAATTTAATTCTCTGTCTAAAAGAAGCGATGAAATAAAAGATTATATATATGCATAGGAAAAATACTAAGTTAAAACTACCTATGAGGATACCAAAGAAAATGCAGTTTTGCACAGTGGAGTTTATTTAAGGGAAAAAAAAGAAAAAAAAAAAAAGAAAAAAAGAGGAAAAAAAGAGGAGGAAAAAAAAAAAAAAAGGAACAGGCTGCTTTAAACAAACAAAAAATTTCAAACCTCAGACACTTTTTTTGTTGTTTGTTCGTTTTGATTTCTTTTTATTTTTTTCTTTTTACAACTTTTATTTTTGCACCTTATTCTAAAAGCTTAAGACTCGGATCTATAGTGAGCTAGGGCTCCTCCCCACGCCCCTCCTCTGTAATGGAAGAAATCCCCTGCTTGTTTAAGGGGAAGCACAGTGGGGTGATGGCAGACAGCAGACCCCCATCCCCTGCTTGCTCACTGGGTGCAGCAGTGCCTGTGCCCCATCCCACCCCAGCATCCTGAGCCACTGGATGTGCTGCTGGGGTGACACTTGGCCAGAGCTGCAATGCAGCATGGCTGGAGACGGTATTGGGGTGCAGAAGAGCCAATGCATAAACCCCCCAAAGAGGAAGGGAGAGGGTAGTGGAGAGGAAAAAAAGCTTTCCCGATGCTTGGGAATTGGCACAGGGGTAGTAAGTTTTTGGGAAGATGCTTCTCTCCAGCATGGCGAAGGTGTCAGAAAAAGTGAGGCTGTAAAGCATGTTCCTGCCTCCTGCTGTCCACAAATATCAATGGCTGGTGGATGGGAAGCACCACTGGGCTCTGAGCACACTTTGGCTCTGTGGTGTTTGACTCCTTTGCTCGAGCTGCAGAGCCTCTGTGCCTCCAAGCTGAAGGATGCACTGCCTTTGCGGCACGGCACGGCTGTTTGCTGCAGGGGGGAGGTGATGGGGACAGCAACCCTAGTCCACTCTTACAGTATTGGATCACTGTATGCCATTAAAAAACAGCTTGTTCTAGGTCTAACGTCTTCTGCAAACGGATATCTGTGAAGGCTGCTGGCCCCTTCCAGCCCTACCTGAAAGAAATGCCTGCAATGAAACGGTGTCTGGTCAGATGGGATCTGGGTGTGAAACGGTGGGAATATGACATTGTAAACGTAGACTTGGTGACTGGAGAGGGCAGATGATTGAGTGCACGTGGAAGGCGGTCGCTGGGGTGGGGGGAAGTAATGGAGAGCTGAATGCAATGCGACTCGGTCGCAGTTTCTGGGTCAACGTTGGTGAAAACAACTGAGTGCTGCTAGTGCTGCTATTGTGATATACTTGTAAAAGGAAATACCTAAACCAAAGAGTATTCAGTGAAGCAGAGGGGGCATGAAAATGCAAAGGGGAAGGGATGGATGTGGGACTCCAAGGAGGAAGAAAGTGTCCTCTCCTCCAAGTCAGTGTCCCCACGAGCACAGCGCTCTGCAGGATGATACTGGAGATGCCCGAGGGAAGAGATTGGGGGAGAGGATTCTGCTTGTTTCTTTAAAGAGAAATTCAGAGGGGAAGAAAAAAAAAAAAAAAAAGACAGAAAACTACAAAGATCCCCTCCCCTTAACATTTCTGGTGCAGAAGTTTGGGGTTTGGGTGTTGGTTTTTTTTTTGTTGTTTTGTTTTGTGGGTTTTTTTTGTTGTTGTTGTTGTTCTTTTTTGTTTTTGTTTTTCAAGTCGGTTTTTCAGAACTATTTTTAAAATGTACATTTTATAAAGTTTATCAAGTATTTTCATATTTAAAGCCAAATGTAAATAGCAGTCTGAAAAGGAGGACAAGGAGAAGAAGAAAAGGCCACAAGAAGTATAAATTCTGCTCGGCAGTCTCGGCTAGCTAGTACCTAGATGCTACCGGTTAGCATGAGTTTTAGCAAATAATTGCAAGCCTTATAGGATTCCTAATGCTATGAACTCTTTATTTATTTTTACGCATGGACTTTTGAGTTGAAAACACGTTCTAGCTACTGGCATTTTTAAATTTACCAGCTTTCCCAGTGCTAGTCTTACGGAGGGTGTGCATCGAGGCAATCCATGGCACTCTCTGCAGTGTTCTTTTTTCCTCTTTTTTTTTTAACCACCCTTTGTCTTTGCTGATGGACTCTCACATTGCAGAACTGCACTCAGCCTCTGGCTCTGGGAAGCTGCTAGAAACTGACCTGCAATGTGCACGCTGTGGTACCCTTCCCCTTGTCCATCGTTCCTGTTTTTACCAACATGCCTTGGTGAGCCCAGTGTAGGACCGACTATTGTAGCACACTTCTACAGCAGCAGCTGGGTTGGTCAATTGGAAAATGTTGTTATTTTTAAGGAGTACAGAGTGGGTGACAGCATATGGTCCATTCCTGATGATCCTGGGTTAAGCTGATGTTTAAGGAGGGGCCCTTTGGACTGACTGAGCTCTACCCGTAGGCTCCTGCAGGGCTGGTCTCTTTACCAAGGACAAAGTTGGCTCAGCTGGCTCGCACAGAAGGTTTATACTGTATTTTGCTTAGGGTCTGGGGGGAATATGTTATTTCTGCCCTTCCCTGAAAATACTTGAACGAGACACTTGATGTCTGAAACACAATACTGCGTACAGTGACAAAGAGCATTTCTGAGGCAGGTTGGGATCTCTTCTTTCCTCTGTCTCTTCTGTGCGAGCCGTCTGCTGGTAGGTAACAGGGGTCAAGCCCTTGTTGGCTGTACCCAACGATACTCACACAGATGTGATAACACTCGTGTTGTTCATTTAGCACTTGCTTTTCCCAGGAAAGACAAAGGGTCCAGGCATTTGATTTGTTCTCTTAGGTCTTCTTTTTCATAATGGATTACAAGGTAAAACTGAGAAGTACTGTAATGTCTTTAAATTATGGCTGCTCATGACCATTGTAAAGTAGAAGGGTGCTGCGTAGTTGCCATCCCACAGCCAATGAGAAACTGATTTTGTAATGACTTTTGGCCTCCAACTATTGTAAGGTGAACAATCTAGACATCTGACAGTTGTCCATTACTATTTTCCTGTTTGCAGCCTTTTTGTATCAAAGTCTTCCTAATGTACTGCACAAATTGTGGATTGTACAGATTTTTATATATTATGTCTTATTTTATTATTTCTAAATAAATAATAAAAAAAAAAAAATTGAGAATGAAGTGGTGTATGCAGCATGCATTTGAACGAACAGGACGTTATAATACAGCTGTGTTTATGCCTCTCCCTGAGCACAGCCATTGTCTGAAGCCTTTAGGAAGAGACAGGTCGTTCTCTCCTTTGACAAAAGGCAGGAGGAAAGGTGATACGGTCATTATTTGCCAGATGGGAACACAAACACCACGCTCTGCAGCTTGCACCAAAAGAAGATCTGTCCCAGAGAGACTGACTGGCTTTCTTCAGGTCATACCTGAAACTGCAGAGCTCCACATCATTAGCTACAAGTTGTCTGAAACAGAAAGAAAGCTCTACATAAACTACAAAGCATGGGGAGAGGGGAAGTGAATGTGCAGAGCATAAGCCAGCGTGCTGAAACGCTTGGAAAAGGATTAAAAAATTAAGCAAGAAACATCTTCAGATCCCTATGTTTCATGTGTCCCTGGAGCATCCCACTATTGAAATGATGCTCTTCAATTGAGCTGAAGTGCAAACACATCTCCATACAAGCCTAATTTATCCAGAGCCCTGAGCCTTTGGAGCTGTGTTCTTGTGCAGCAGGATGGGGAGGTGCAGTGGAACAGACCCTGGGGTAACAGAGTGGGGGCTGTGTGCCCATCGTGATGGGTTGGGAAGCTCTGTGCCCACTCTGTGTGTGTGTGTGTGTGTGTGTGTGTGTGGCCTCCAGGGCAGACACTGGAGCTGTGCAAGGGTGACTCAGCTCGAAAATGCTGATCTAACTGGAATGCAACGCTCTGCACAGGCTGGGGACGGCTGTTCAGTGCTGCAACGCGGCTCTGACCTCTGCTGAATTGTCCAGCTTTTCATCAGTCTGTAATGCTTGTTAAATACAGCTCGTAAATGAAGCCTCTGATAGAGCCCTGACCTTATCTAGAAGAACTCCTTTTATAAATTCAAATTCTCTTTTCAAAATCTAATGGTCTCTCGAAAAGCTGATCATAATAATTGCAGGGCTGGATTTAGAGGCACAGATTGGCTGTCACAGCCTGGATCCGCTTACAGCCCTGCTGAAATCCTCCTCCAGGCAGCCCCGAGTCCTGGCTCACTGCTCCCAGCCTGTGTGTGCAGTGAGCAGGGGCTTCATACCCTCCCTTGCTGCTGCCCTTCCCTTCTCTCTCTGAACACTCATCCAGGCAGGTGCATTCAGCATAGGTGTGGCACAGCAAGGTGCACTAGAGGCAGATGTATGGACCAGCTGCTCCCTATTTTTTCCAGTCTTCTCACTGAATGAGTAGTGCTCGCAGATGGTTTTGACATGCCAAACTCAAGCTGAGGGCTGCAGGCTTTCTATCGACCAGAAATGTTTAAAGGAATGTCCATGCTTCCAGAAAATGTTGAAGCTAAACTCACAGCTTCAGGGAAGCCTGTTTCACGGGTTTGGACCCTTGGCAGGTGGAGGTTGCCATCCTCTGCAGTGGTGTTCCACTGAAATTAGAGAATGAGGAAAACCAACTGAATGGAGTCAAGCTGTGGCATTTTGCTCCATGCTGTTTGCAGTTGGATGGAGCCACAGCTAAATCCTTCTGATTATTCTGCTCGTAAGGTCTTGTAAGGAGCTAGTAGCAGTTCATCACCCTCATGGCCACCTGAACCCAGGAAAGCCCTTCTCTCTGCTTTATCCATAGCACTGGCT